AGTAAACCTAATCCATGCCTCCACGTTGGCTAGAACACCTTTCTGCCCCCAAGTTGGTACCACTGCCTGGAACAGAACAGTGGACCGAATCTGGCCCTGGTTCCCCTAATCCAGTTTAGGGGATATGATGGATATATACACAGTCTTCTCAGCTGCTCACCCCAGAATATATAGCTGCTCACCTGAGAATCTGGGGAGAGACAAACCATTTATTTGTGTTCTTCATTGTTGATTAAAGGTGCCTCACTCTGTCCATAGGAGCACCAATGTTTTTGCTGCACTGTACTATGCAAATAGTAGCTCTGTGCGTTTGTTGATTGCTGCACTGCTTAACATTTAAAGACCAAAGCCCATTTGGTGTTTGATCCCCTTGCTTCATCATAGCAGCAGAATTTGTGAATGATTTGATATGTAAAAAATGAAAAGCAAATCATGATTGTGCAAAGGAAATACAAACCCATGCTTCCTTGTAGGGAGATTATAAAATATTTGTGGCGTATCTGCATGTTAAGTGATTTGACCTTCCTGGATTTGTAAAAATCCCTCCGTACTTACCTGCTTTGCTAAATAGAATTTAAGGCATATGTACTTTTCTGAATCAAGTCCTATAATTGGCCTTTGGTTTTAAGATGTAAAATTTACCTATGCTCATAAAATGGGTTGGTTTGCATAGTTTAATACTGGCAGTCATTATTAATCATCACAAATGCAAACAATGACATTTACATGGACTGCATGTCTTCAATTCTGGAATTGAATCCTGGGCAAGCCCTGTCACCTTTTGGGGGTGGGCAGCTGCTTATTTTAAGTCTTGATATTTAACCAGCCATTGATTGAACTCTCCTGGGAAAATGAAGAATTGTGTGCTTTTGAATGGTTGTACAGTACAAGATCAGAGCTGGCTCTTTCAGGTCATTGGATATTGAAGATTTTATTTGATTGGTTTTATTTGTTGATTTTCCTCTCCCATATGTGTACACACACACACACACACACACACACACACACACACATTGTCTTGAATTTAAAAATAAAGGGCGTCCCAGATGGAACAGTTTAAAAATAGTGTCCTGAGTATGGGGTCCCTATGAACCTAATAAGATGGTATTGGATCCAATAGTGCTCTTCTGTAATCAGAAAACCTCTTCCACTCATGATAGGGCTGTTTCCAATTTAGTAGCTGAATCTTGCATGAGAAAAATTATCTGAAATACAAAGATATCCAACTGTTTCTATAAGCCCTGTTGCAACCATTGGCACAAGGTTGCTCTGTATCTTTAATGGCATAAGAAGACAAGAAGAGCCTTGCAGAATCTGACTAAAGGCCTGTCAAGTTCAGCATCCTGTTCCTCACAGGACTGATGTCAGTGTGCACATGCAACCTTTGTCTGCCCAGGCCCAAGAATTCCTCTTAGATGGGCCATCGATGCCTTTTGTCATGTCCATGCTTCTATCCCATGTGAAGCCCTGGCTTGGAAAGGAAGCTTAGCCTGCATTTTCCCACTGGCCTGCAATCTTCCCTTTGATACTCCAAATAATCAAAATCCTACCATTTATTAATTTCTAGGGATTAGCCCCACCCCAAATCTATAACAATGTAATGTGTAACATTGCCCATCTGCACATCTAGGTCAGAGTATGTGGCTTCCACGATTAAATGCATCTTATTTTAGGGTTATGGTGCTAGACAGGAACACAGGTAGACCAGTGCTATTCACATACCAAAGAGAAATGTACACAAACACAAGGAAGGCACTACTGGATCAAACCAAAGGTCCCTTTAGACTAGCATCCCACATTGGCCAACCAGGTAGCTCACAATCAGGGTGTGAAGGCAATTGATTCCCCCCACTGTTTCTCCCCATCTTAGCAACTGATATTCAGGAATATATTCTGGATATAGACCAGATAGTCATCATGGCTAATAGTCATTTGTGCAATTCCCCTTTAAGCCAGTGCCCCTGGTCATCTCTTGCAGCAGCAGATTTCCTGAATTCATTACAGAATGTGTAAAGAAGTAATTGAATCTCCCATCAATTTCACTGAGTCCCAGTGTTGCAAGAGAATGCGAAACTCTTCTCTCCATCCCCTCTCCCCACTCATTCTGGATCCAAAGGCTAGCAGTGGCAAATGGGCATTTATGTCTGGGCTACTGACTGAATCAATTAAGCCATTTTTGTTTTTAATACATCTCGGTGCATTATGCGATTGGAACAATTACCTGGGCACACAGCATTCTTTTTTAAAGCTTTTATTTATAAGTCAATGTAAATAAAAGTCCTCTCTGAACCAAATGGTGCTATCTGAGTAAAAAGCAAGCTGCCACTCCAATAGGATCAGATGCCAATGACTGGCTTCTCTCTCAGTCAACTGCCCAGAGTTGTCTTCCATCTATTTGATCCACATATTTTGGGATTCAATTCAATAAAGTCCATGTACATTGACTTGATTGTCAGTTGAGCTGCTAGAGGTCTGAGGCTGGAGCCCTGTATGTGGTAAGCCTGCTTTAATCCTTCCAAAAGCAACAGAGTTTTAAATGCTGCAATTGTACAAATGACTCCATCCTGATTCTAGGAACTCTGATGTAAGTACCAATATTCAATGGGACTTACTCCCAAGTACCTATGGGAACTTTCCTTCCCAGAATAATAGCAGTCAGTAGGGCTGGGTGATACCTGGCTTTCAACATTGTGATATATCACCAGCTAAACATCGTGATACCGATATATCTCAATGTCTGAAATAAGGACGTAACTACCGTATTTACACGAATCTAATATGCCATTGAATTTAATGTGCACCTCAATTTTCAAAATCTTGAAATCAAAAAAGTATTTGCTGGTGAATGTAAATGTGTCCTCAAATCTAACACGCACCCTAATTTTTGTGATGTAATTTGGCCAAAAAAGGTGTGCATTACATTTGAGTAAATATGGTACATAGAAACGCACAGGCTAATGTCCTGGCAACTGCTGCTACTTAGGGGTCTCAAAGGGATAGATTTTTAACTCCCTTTAACATATTGTTACAGCTATTAATTTCTAGTACCGAGCAACATGAGAGAAGTGATGATCAACTTCACAGTTTTCCCCATATTGTGATTTTTTTTACATAGCGCACACACACATTGTGATATATTGTGATATATCACCATGTCAAATATTATGAAACCGTTATCACAATGTGGACTTCAAACAGATTTTGGATGATGTATTGATACATCGCCCAGCCCTAGCAGTCCGCATGCATGGTGGGGGATGGAGAGAGGCACTTTTCATTTGTGACTGCATGAGGGAATAATAATAATAATAATAATAATAATAATAATAATAATAATAAATGCCAATCTGGCTGGGTTTCCCCAGTCACTCTGGGCGGCTTGCAACAGAATATTAATAACAGGATAAAACATCAAACATTAAAAACTTCCCTATACAGGGCTGCCTTCAGATGTCTTCTAAAGGTTGTATAGTTGTTTATTTCCTTGACATCTGATGGGAGGGCATTCCACAGGGCGGGTGCCACTACCGAGAAGGCCCTCTGCCTGGTTCCCTGTAACCTCACTTCTCTCAGGGAAGGAACTGCCAGAAGGCCCTCAGAGCTGGACCTCAGTGTCCGGGCAGAATGATGGGGGTGGAGACGCTCCTTCAGGTATACTGGAATTAAACAGTTAACCCCCTCCTCTCACCTTCTGGTCCAAACAAAAATCCCTGCACCTGACTACTACAGTGGTACCTCTAGTTACAAACTTAATTCGTTCCAGAGGTCCGTTGTTAACCTGAAACTGTTCTTAACTAGAGACGTGCTTTCGTTAATGGGGCCTCTTGCTGCTGATGCGCCACTGGCACATGATTTCCGTTCTCATCCTGGGGCAAAGTTCTCAGCTTGAGGTAACTCTTCCAGGTTAGCGGAGTTTGTAACCTGAAGTGTTTGTAACCTGAGGCGTTTGTAACTCAAGGTACTACTGTATTAATGAATGCTCACCCCCAGATGCAGTTCCTAACATCATGATAATGTGTGGTCCTCAGTATGCTAGGAGTGGGGCTAGCTTTTGATTTTTTCCATAAATGATTAAAAAAAATATGCATGAGTCTCTTTCTCAAGCTGTCTATGCCGCATGTGGATGCTGCTAATACAATAAAAGAAAATCTGATGTGCATTCCTGGGTAGTACATTTTTATGATCTGGAGGCCTAAAATCAATGTTTTGGCTTGCAAATGCCAAGGGGTACAGCCTGTTCCTCCAAACTCCCATCAAGGTACCCTATCAGCAAAACAAGGGAGAATCTCCCCTTCCCAACTCCATCTCATGTGCCACTTTCTTATCTATCACTTTCTCCCCGCCTGATATACGTGCTGTTTCTGGTGAGGCTTCCTCACTGCTGTAAGCACATTAAAAGAGTGCAAAGCAATTTATGCTCACTGTAAATAAAATGCCCTTTGCTCTGTGCTGGCTGCAACCACCTTGGAAAGAGATCTCGAGGCATAGTAAAAAGCTCACAGACAGTGGCAGCTCATATGTTGAAGCCATGGAAAGAAGACATTAAGGCTGCAGTATAATACAAACCAACCTCAGAGCAGACTCGCACTGTACTCAGTAGGATTTCTACTGCTGTGATGAAATCTGTCTTCCAATGGCTTCAAAGTTTTCTTCATCTGTGGGGAAAAAAAAGGCTTCCATTTTTCTGTCTCATCCTTGGGGAACTTTAGAATTCCTTTAGCCTCACCATTGTCCTATGTTTTGAGGTTACCTTATAATGGCAAGGTGGCCAAGGAAGATGCAGGTTGGGTTTTTGTTACAGCCCTCTGCAGCCTCCCCAGCTGCCTGCACTTCCTGGTCTGAAAGAGTCCTGTGAGACCTTTCATTAGGCTATGATTGATCAGGCACCTAGGAAGGCTGCAGAATACAGATCATTTGGGAGAGGATTTGTAGAATTAAAAAAAAAGAACCCGTGCAAACCCCTTGGCCATCTCAAAAGTAATGGGGGAAAAACAAACAAAGCACAAAGCTTAGTTGGTTAGAGTGTGGTGCTGATAACGCCAAGGTTGCAGGTTCTAGCCCGGTAAGGGACAGCTGCATATTCCTGCATTGCAGGGGGTTGAACTAGATGATCCTCAGGGTCCCTTCCAACCCTATGGTTCTATGAAACTCCATTCATGAGAGTTTCACTGAATTTTCAAGTGTGATTTCTTATCTCAGTTGAAGAATGGCTAAAAAAAATGGAGAAGAATGAAGAAATAAACTGAAAAGACCTGGTGAGTTATCACAATGATATGAATCATTGGTGTGGCTATATTTGGAATCCAGTGTGTGGCTCTAATGTCTACACAAGGTACAGAAAACAGGATCCCATGAACTGGAGCATCTTTCTCACACAGATAACATGTGTCAATGTCACACCTGTTCACATCTCCACATTCTATAGCATTGATTGGAATTGGGACAAACACCAATTTGCTATTTAGCCATTCGATGCAATATCAACCCGAAGAATTCCTTGCCACACGTTGCATATTTCAGTGGGTGTAGTAACCGTATCCCATATACAGCACATAACGAAAGCTTACCCTTGGAATGTGAGAGCTTTGTGTATGGAACAGCGCATGGATGTATTCATTAGCCAAAGACAATTGCACTTTTAGAACTGTGCATCACAACACAGGTTAGTGAATGCATTTTTCCAAGAAAGCAACATATGTGGTCACTCCTTTCTCCATAGCTCAACGAACATCTGTTTCGCAGAAGGTCTTGGGCTGATTCACTGGCAGCTCCAGGAAATGTCTGTCTGAAACGGGAGAATCACTGCCAGTCCGTGAAGGCAATACTGAGCTCAATGGACTAATGACTTCCCACAATTGATATATAGCTATGCACATGCATTTATGTACTCAGGACACACATCTGCTCCCCCCCACCTGCCAAATGGAAATTAATCTCTTGTGTCTGAAAAGTAATGTGTGAAGTCTAGGGATATGTTGGTGAAATCTGCGTGGAATGCTAAGGAGTCTCTTCAGTTGGTGGCAGCTTTGTAGATGAAATTTGGCAGGACTCAATCTTCGGATTTGTGCGTTTGCCACTCTGCAGCCGCCGCGTGGGATTACAAGAAGGGCTGAGCTCTCTAAGGGATCATTGTCTTCTCTGCTTCGAGATCAAAGTTGGAGTGGAAGAGGGAAAGGGGGCGGGCAGCTTTTCAGATGCCGCCTGTCAGGTCCTAGCATTTGAATCTCTTCGGTGCAAGCAGGAAAGCATTTAGGCTCCCTTTGAAGTCTACAGACTCATGTGTGTGTGTGTGTGTGTGTGTGTGTGTGTGTGTGTGTAGCCATTTGCCCGCCTTTCAAATCCTGCTTTGCCAACTAGACATCTGAGTGTCCCTAGTTCTCATTGATTAAATGGCTCCCCTCCATTTCTTTCTGTTTAGGGGGCATGGATGGAGTTGTTGTTGTTGTTGTTGAGTCGTTTAGTCGTGTCCCACTCTTCGTGACCCCTTGGACCAGAGCACGCCAGGCACTCCTGTCTTCCACTGCCTCCTGCAGTTTGGTCAAACTCATGCTGGTAGCTTCGAGAACACTGTCCAACCATCTTGTCCTCTGTCGTCCCCTTCTCCTTGTGCCCTCCATCTTTCCCAACATCAGGGTCTTTTCCAGGGAGTCTTCTCTTCTCATGAGGTGGCCAAAGTATTGGAGCCTCAGCTTCAGGATCTGTCCTTCCAGTGAGCACTCAGGGCTGATTTCCTTCAGAATGGAGACGTTTGATCTTCTTGCAGTCCATGGGACTCTCAAGAGTCTCCTCCAGCACCATAATTCAAAAGCATCAATTCTTCGGCGATCAGCCTTCTTTATGGTCCAGCTCTCACTTCCATACATCACTACTGGGAAAACCATAGCTTTAACTATACGGACCTCATGGATGGAGTGAGGATCCCTAAATCCCCCCAGCTTCCCGGATGCCCTAAGGAAGGAGGCGTCAAATTCTTAGCTCCACTGGCAACAATTTTGGCGGATGAAATGCCCAAATTGCTGCGAGTGTGTTGATGGAGGGAAATGGCCAAACCAAACCAAAAACTTTCTCTGGAGTGATCGAGGGGCCTCTAGCGCCTGGCTGGAGATGGCTGAGGCAAGTCGGGCTACTCTCCCACGGACCCCTTTTCCTTCCCTCTCCCCCCTTTCCCCTTGATCCCCCCCCATGTCCATGTCAAGCGATCGCCAATCCCAGGGCAGGAGGAGGGCGCAGGCGGAGAGGCGGTGATGGAGACGGGGGGGGGGGTGCTCGGAGTCAGCGCTGCGTGATCGCTCGAAGCCCCTCCCGCCTGCTGGAAAAGCCATAAAAAACCTCGCCGAGGCGCGCAGCCCCACACTGGAGAGCGGAGCCACTTCGCGAAGGAAGCGACGCCCAAGCCACACTCCGGAGGAGCCGCACTGCCAGAGAACCTCAGCCACACACACGGTGAGTCCTCGTCTCCCCTCCCCACGCGTCATCTCACATCCCCATCTCTCTTGGTCTCCGTTTGTCCTGCTCCTCCTAAGTTTCCCAGGACGCTTCTCCTCTCCATCTGCTAAAAGCCCCCTCTTTAGGGTTTCAACTCGACTGTCTTTCGCTTTCCAATCTCATCGGTGCTTAAATCTGCGGAGATTTTTTTTTCCCTTTCGGGGTTTCCCCTCTTTTCTCCACGCGTCAAAGATTTGACGTGTTTCCAAGGCTTCTTGCAACTTTTTCTCCGCGCGCTCCTCCTTCGCGTTAGAGTTTGCTCCGGGAGAAGGCTGCCAGCCTGCACCCACTTCCTCGGGAGTAAGCCCCACTGGGATCAACGGGACTCACTTTTGAGTAGATCGGTGGATAGGGTTGTCCCACAGAATTCTAGTCCTTAATGGCCCCAGTCGGTTTGAAAGTTCTCCGTCGCCATTGCTGGATTTTAAACAAATTCCCTTTGTGAAAATAACTTTTTCCTTCCCACGTTTGCCTGCTTTTCAGGGATTGGAGTTCCCTTCCTATGGACACTGGCTGTTTGAGCCGTTTCACTGGGAAAGGTGATGATGAACCACTAGGAGGAACACGAATGGTTGATCTGGGGCATAATAACATTTGGAACCCATCAATTGTTGTCTATTGTCTTCTAGTTCAGTGGCAGAGCAAAACACCTGCTTTTTCCACAATGCTGAGCCAGAGGAACCAATAGTTCTTCCCCACACTGCTTATTACAAACATAAACTCGCTTCTCCAAAGGAAAAAAACTTGCCAGTTCAGTGGGGTTTGTTCCTTTTTCTAAAGGAACCTTGGGGAAAGATTGTTGGGATTTCCATGATTGATTGATTGATTGATTTTTAAGAGAGAATTTAAGAGAGACTATAAAATAAACTAAAACCAGAATGTTGACTTGGAGCAAGGATGTGAAAGCTGTTAAGCTTCCTAGATTTTTTCTTTACTCAGCAGAAATAAAAGAACGACTTACGAACTCTGTAAAATCCTTTGAAGCTTTAATTAACAAACAAACGTACAACCAAAAGGAATGTCGTCTAATATTGATTCTAAATATGGGAAATACAGGGCTGAATTTAGTTTGCCTTGCTCCGACCTGCTCCCAGAATCCATTTTCAACACCACCACGATGCAGTCTTGGAGCATGTCCTGAGTCATTAATTTTATTTAGCTATTTAAAAGATGTCTATGCCCCCTTCATTTTTTTCCCCAGTGAGGGGCACAGTGCGGTCGGTTCAAACCATAAAACCTACAAACCACACTTATCCTTCCCCATTAAGAAACTACAAACAATTGGCACACTAGGTGGTCATTTAGCTTGTTCTCCAAGCAGACCTAACTCCCAGCAAGTCTTGCTTTGAAGAAATTTAGCCAAGGACCTACAATATTCAATACATCAGAGTAGTTTTGCTAGTTGATGGGTTCTTCCGATTACAACAAGGGACTGGGGACCACCCCTTTCACTGTCTTTTTGCCCCTGCCCCCAAAACAATGGTTAGCGAGAAACATTTAATGTGATGCTTTCTGCCTTGCCTTGCCTCACCCTTCCACCCGGCATCCTTCCCTTGTATTCTACAGATGCAAGGGATGATGCGGTTGTGGCTGTCTGCGATGACGCTTGCCCTGTGCCTGCTGATCTGCCTGGGGACTCTGGCAGAAGCATATCCATCCAAACCGGACAGCCCTGGCGAGGATGCTCCTGCAGAAGACATGGCCAGATACTACTCGGCACTGAGGCATTACATCAACCTCATCACACGACAGAGGTAGGTGCCAAAAGGGGGCATCGCCACCGTCACTCTGGGCGGCAAGAGCGACGTCATGGTTAAGGACACCTACCACGTATCACAGATCCATTATACGACTGCCGGATGCGATACAATGTTAGTTCTTCATCATGAGTTTCGTCAGGGGTGGCTAACCTGTACCCAGCCTCAAATGTTTTCGCATCCTCGCTCCCATCAGCTCCCATCAGCATTGTCAGTGGTCAGGGATGATGGGAGTCGTCATCCAACGTGATAAGGAGGACCATAGGTTAGCCATCCCTGATTTATAGCCTGCCCAATTCCAGAATGTGCAATGCACGTAGGAAAATCTACATATTTGAAGGGCTCCCAGCCTCATTCTAGTGCAGGCACCCCCAAACTTGGCCTTCCAGATGTTTTGGGACTACAACTCCCATCATCCTTAGCTAACAGGACCAGTGGTCAGGAACGATGGGGATTGTAGTCCCAAAACAGCTAGAGGGCTGAGTTTGGGGATGCCTGTTCTAGTGGCACACCCACTCATCCTGCATGGAAATATAAAAATGAAAAATGCAGCCTATTGCTTATTTTTTACCTTGAATTGCTATTAGGTCCTACTTTGTTGTGTAGAAAGGCAGTATTATTACTACTATTATTACCATTGCACATTTGTCACTACTGCAGCACTATGGCAGGGCAAGCTGCACCTGGTGAACATCTTCCCTTCTACTCAACAATTAAATAAATGCATAGGATCCTAGAACCTATAGCAATCTCAGGGGTGTTTGCATACTTGCTATTTGCTCATCCCTTTCCTTCTGGGAATCCAGATGTGGTTCATTCCTAACTGTTGTATTCATGCATTTTTTCTATTATCACCCTAATCCTTCCTCGGTCCTAATAGTGATCATCTGTTGCAATTTAAGCAGACAGCTGTTCCTCATAGTTGCAATGCAATAGTTCAGGTGCAAAGCAATGCTATTATTTCTCTCTCAGTGGATGTGCAGTTGGTGCTGATGATGATAACTGGGTAATCTCACCCCTCAAGGGGCAGCTGATGTTTCATTTTCACTTCATTTCACATTTAATTTGTATACTGCCTTTCTATGTTGCTATACTCAAGGCAGTTTACAAAAAACAAATGATCACACACTTTATGATAATTTGTTCCAATACAAAAAATGTTGTAATAAAAACACAATAAGCAACTTATATCAAATAAAGTAATATTCAATAATCCATCAGAATATAAAAGTAGCCAATAAAAATAACTCTCAAAATACCAGCAAATAATAATGACACAGAAATCCACTCTTAACCATTACATTGCATAATTACTAAACAATAATCAATAAAAATAACTGCGTCACAATGCACAAAACCCCCCACAATACATACAAAACCATGTAAATATGTAAATGGATCAAATTGAGAAACAAAGACACGCACTTTAAGAAATTATTTTTAACCTGGAGCTTCCCAGATGTTGTTGGATCATCCCTGACCATTGGCCAAGCTGGAGAGGGCAGATGGGTGTTGAATTCGCACATCTGGAGAGTACCATATTGGCTACCCCTGGTGTTCACCATGGGAAGCAAAGCCTCTTCCAAAACACTGTCATCTTCTAAAACTCCCTCCCCCTTCATTCCAGCTTAATGGAGGTATCTATAAATGTAAGGACTAGAAGCCTGAGACTTGTTGCAGAAAGTGCAGCACAGGATATTTGTTCCATACGTTCATAATTTGAATAAACAATTATAGGCGTGGACGGTTTAATGTTTCATGTTGAAAAAATGTCATTTAGCAACCTCTCTGGGAAGCTGGTCACAAGAGCATGCATTATAGAAATGCTTCATTCATTCTCCAATGACACTTATTCCCCGCCTGTGTTCCTATAGTAGAGGAGCCTTATGTTGCCTTAGATCCAGCAGGTTCAGAAACTTGATCCATTCAGTCAAACAGTTCAAACCTTTTTGTTTAAGCAAACGGTAGATTTTTTTTAATAAAAAAGGTTTAGTTTAGTTTTTTAAAAAAACAACAATTTTGGATTATATATCCCTTTTTCTGATGCACTTATTGGACTATTTTGGATAAATTTTGTATTATATTTTATAGTAATTAATGGTTTCATTGTTCTCCACTTTTAAAGCATTTTTTGTTAAAAAGTGGATTTTTTAAAAATGGAAGGAGAAGAAATTAAATATCTTAAGTTACGGGCCTTTAGAATGTATGTATGATAAAGATTAGGCTGGAATATCCTTTTAGGAAAGGGGGAAAAAAGATTGCATCCTGGTCGATGGGAGAGAGATATTCTTCTATCGCATCAATTTCAGAGTTCAAATAAAAACTAAAATTCCGAGGAATAATCTCTCCATTTGGATGCCCACAATAACTTAATTCAAATGGTCATTAGATGTTGTCCCATTTAGTCCCAGAAAGTGATTACAACACAGTCCAGGTTTGGTTCATGTCCTAATTGAGTTACTATTCAAACCAGAGGAGATAGTTTTAATTAGGTTGCCACTGGTTCTGTGCTCTCACAGTTGGGGGGGATTGAATTAGAAGGCAGAATGATCATTTCATCTTGTTAAAGACGCCTTAGCAAACTGGTAACTTAGTGTCTGTGCAATAAAATATGCCCCCCCTAAACCCCCCCCCCGATGAAGAGCCCACTGGAAAGGCCTTTCATCAAAAGGAGTTTAATGGCATGTGCTCACAAGAATAAGTCTACCGTGTGAGCCAATGGACTTTAGATATAACAAGCACAATTTCCAGTAATCGTTGCAATTTTTTCAGGTATATTTACTATTGCCTGTATTCACTCGTCCTTTTATTTTTATCACATCTCTCCATGTGTTCATACAAAGAGCAAGTCAGGATTGTTCTTCTGGACAATCCAGCCTTGTGTGAAATTCCAGCCCTTTGTAGGGTTTGGTACTTGAAGAGCTCCCCCCAAAAAGAGGATCAGATTGTGGTACTGTAAGAAAATTGCATATATGCCACACACTGGAATTGTGGGTGAGAGAGAAATTCGGTTCATATTTTAATGCAAATCTACCTGATTCACATTTCCGAAAGCAACACGTGAATTGAAATGTAGCTATCCTTTGAAATGTGATTTTTTAAAAAAGGATTTTGCAATGCCAAAACACGTACCTGAAAATGAGTGTATTAGGTGAGAGTGTGCATAAACACGCATAAACACGAAAAAAAGCTTACAAAATTGCATCATATTAGGGAAAACTGCATACAAAAATGTGTATATTAGGAGAAAGGCACATCGAATGTGTTGACGAAAATATTTGCCAGACTGATGCAGAAATGTGGTGGACAGAACATAATAGTGGAAAAATTAGGAACACAGAGAAACTGAAATTGACCGATTTGTCCATCTCTGGTCAGAAGAGCCAGCTCCCCGTCACTGTGTGTGTTGTGAAAAAAATGAGAAATGAAGGAAGAGAAAAGGAGCTAACTGTATTTTTTTATTAACTTGAAAAAGGAATACTGCACAGCATTTTAATACTAGATAAGGAACCATTCCTTAATAAGGAACAAATAGCAAAGCATTTAGAAGCGATGGAATAAGAGCTGTTCAACAGTGGAACTGACTCCCTTGGGACTCTCCTTCCTTGGAGATTTCTAAGCAGAGGTTGGATGGTCATTTGTCATGGATGCTTTAGTTGAGATTCCTGCATTGGAGGGGTTGAACCAGATGACCCTTAGGGTCCCTTCCAATGTTACAATTTTATGATTCAGATTAATTGATTCCACATCAAAGTGCCAGGCATAAGAAGAGGACGAAGTGGGAAAATGTGTTTCCACCAGTATATTTTGTCTATTAGACCACTTCTACAGAAGACTTGGGGGGGGGGGAATGCCCTTAGCTTACCGTTCACAATTTTTGCCGTATATAAATATTAATCCTGGATAGAAAACAGGCCGTTTTTTTCAAGTGAAATGTACATTACAACCAGCGTAAGTTGTACATTTCCATTACGGAACAATTGAAACAAAACCTGATTTAAGCCTTGCATGTGAAAAGGTTTTAAGAGAGGATGGAATGTACCACTTTTCAACAAAGAACACCCATAAGGCAAACAAGAAACAAATGGGAATACCAAACCTCTGTCTGTTTCAAGCCCTCATCTCCTTTTGTAGAAGAAGACACAAGCTGGAGGAGAAAGATCCATGCCTTGCTACGCAAAACAGGATCTCAGCCCTGTGTCCCTCTGTTCCTTTGATAGGATCCAAGTGAACAGGCTACAAGGTTTGGGGCTTTGTAGAAAAAAGGAGAGCAAAGGTGGATGTGACTGATGTTTGCCAAATTGTGCATAGCGTAGGGAAAGCAGAATGGGAGACATTTTTCTTCCTCTCACATAATGAACATAATGAACAGCCCAGATCACTCAACGAAGCTGAATGCTGAAAGACTGAGGGCATAGTTGAGCTATGGAATTCATTGCCACAAGATGCAGTGATGGCTGCCAACTTTGATGGCTTAAAAAAAAGGCACTTGGAAAACTTCAGGAGGTGGGGGGCGGGATCAGGCTTTCAATGGTGACTAACCATGATGGCTATATACCGCCTTCAGTGTTGAAGGTGGTATCGTGATGACAAGATCCTGAGTGGGAGAGTGCCACTCTGCTCAAGCCCTGCTTATGGGCTTCCCATGGGTGTTTGGTTAGTAGATGCGAAAGCAGATTGCTGGACTTGATGGGCCCTGGTCTGATTCATCTCTCATCTGAGTGTTTCCCACAGTGGGAGATGATTCAACAGAGAGAGGGGAGAAGCTGGCTTTCCAACCATCCTCTGTGCCTTGTTTGGTTTCTAAGAATCACCTATACAGGCTTAGGGCTGTAGTGTTTGAGGAACAGCCAGACCAGCAACATACAGAAATTGTCAGGAGTTCAGCCTACACTTGAGTAGGACCCTGGCAGAGATACATGCCTGACTGGCATGTTCTCTCCCTCCTGGTCTTTCGTTCGGGAGCTTCAAAAGCTTTCTTCAGCCCAAACATCACGGCGACCGATGCCTACCGACACTGGCACACTTAGGGATCCACAGAGTTTGCGCATCATGCGTGACAGACCTCAGCAACTCAGCATTTTGGCTACTCTATTTTATTTACATATAAACACACACGGAGCACTGCAACATGGCTCCCTCTTTCTCTAGCATCAGACAGCAAAGAGAAAAAGAACAAAGGACAATAGTCCCACTTCACTGAACACAGTAACACAAACATCCTGTCTCCGTCACTTCCCACTCTATGGAATCAAAACATATACCGTCATGTGAAAGACAACAATCCCATGACTGCAGCCATGGAGCAGGAATTCTAACAGAAATAACCCATTTAATCCCCATAATGCAGGGCCTTCTGGTGTGTACATTGTGAACGTACCCTCTGAGGGATTTCTATGTGCCAAATATCTTACACCATGAGAAAGATCTCAAAAGCGTTTCTTACGACAGAACATTCAAACACCCCTTACCAGCAACAAGAAGAGTGTGTGTGTGTTGGTCTCCCCCCCCCCCCCAAAATCCCACACTGGTAGATTTTTGCAGCTCCAAAGCTTTGCTTTCAGCCCTGCCCACAGCTTCTTCCTTCTCCCCATGTGACATGGCTCAGCAGCACTCTAGCAGTTCATGAAACTCCAGCAGTGCCTGTCAGTGATGTTAGATTTGTGATGTCGGCTGCGTTCACACCACACATTCAAGGCCTATTTAAAGCACATGTTTTCTGCGACATAATGTATATTTGTGTGTTGCGACATGCATTTTTGTGCTCCCTCCCTCCTGATATATGCACAATCTTGTGCCTGTCTTTGGGTTGGAGAACTGCACCATAACATTCAGAGGAGAGAACATAAGAAGACCCTGCTGGAGTAGGCCAATGGCCCATCTAGCCCCACATCCTTTTCACACAGTGGCCAACCAAACGCCTGTGAGAAGCCCCCAGGCAAGACCCAGCCATAGGAGTACTCTCCACTTCTGTGGTTTCCAGCAACTGGAATTTAGAAGCTTTGCTGTCTCAGACAGTGGAGGCAGAGTGTGAACTGGAAAGCACAGCTGCGTCACATTCAGTTGGCCTGTTGGTTCAGGAACTGTGAATTGCATAGTGAAGCGAACCAAATTTCGCCCCGATCCCTGGCAATTGTTCCACAAATAACATGACCATCTGAATCCACCTCTAGCAAAAGCATCTTGCCACCATTGGTTCTTCTTGGAAAACTGAACTAGAGATCAAAACAGTCTTTGGCTGCCATCCTAAGCAGCTACATACCTCGAAGGAGTAAACACCATGGAATTCAATAGGACTTCCTCTCGAGTCAACAGACATAGGGTCAGTTAGGGTTATTCACTCATGATATGATGTAAAAACAAACAAACCACAGGCAAAGGTAGGTTTCCAGTTTTTTCTTTTAAAAATAGTTCCATAAGACTCCTTGTTGAACCAGGCAGAGGGCCTTCTCAGTAGTGGTGCCCGCCCTGTGGAAGGCCCTCCCTTCAGATGTCAAGGAAATAAACATCTATCTGACTTTTAGAAGACATCTGAAGCCCTGTTTAGGGAAGCTTTTAATGTTTGATGTTGTTGCTTTTTTATTATTGTTATTGGTGTTCTGTTGGGAGCCGCCCACAGTGGCTGGGGAAACCCAGCCAGATGGGCGGGGTATAAATAATACATTATTATTATTATTATTATTATTATGCTAAAAATTATCTCATGGTGAGGGGGGAATTCTAGAGAACACATCTGTTTTGGGACTGCAAGATGCAACCTAACAAATGAAGCAAGTCTCATGGTATTAGAGCTGTTTTTCTCCTTTTAAATTGGGGTCCTGGTTTATGGCATTCAAGCAAGAGTGGGTGGCAATTTTGCTTGAATTCCATTATATTTACTGCAGCTGAATCTCCTCTTTATTGTGAAAGACATCATCCAGAAGTACTATTAATTGACATCAACGAGGGTTTTGGCTTATAATGGGCAGCAGGATCAGAGTCTTAATTTGGTAAACTAATATAAAAAGCCCAGGCATTTTCCTTAAGGATATTAACTCATTCTATCGCTGAAGCTCTGGCCATGTCTCAATTCACTGGAGAAAGGAAGCAGAAGCAAGCCTCAGATCATTTGGGGCTAGAGAACATTTGAGTTTAGCATTATGCTTCATTAAATTATTGTATGGGTGGTTGATTAAAGCAGCTGGTTCTCTTCAGATTCTTCACTTCAGAAATGCTTTGTCTGTATGGCATAAAGAAATCTCATTGGCCAAATGCAAAAGGGAATGCCTTTGTTATAGTGAAGCTAGTATGTACAATTGCAATGGGGAAAATGAGTTTTTAAAAAATAATAATACTGAAAATAGGTTATTGGAAGCGCAGGAAGAAGACTTATTATACTGAGTCAGACCACTGGTCCCTGTGGTTCAGTATTATCTGCTACCCAGACTGACAGTGGCTCTCCACGGTTTCAGATATAAGCTTCCCATTGGCTGCAGGAGCTTTCTGCGCTCAAGCAGAAACCGTGTTGGATGTTCGGCTTCCGGAAAATGTTCACAAACAGGAACACTTACTTCCGGGTTTGTGGTGTTTGGGAGCTGATTTGTTTGGCAACTATGCCATTCAGGAACAAAGGTACCACCGTAGGTCTTTTTGAGCCCTACCTAGCAAAGTTGGGGATTGGATCTAGGACGTTTTTCAAGCAGTGCATGTGCCCTATCACTGAGCTATGGGTCTTCCTGTGGCATTAACATGGTCGTGTCCATCAATGGTCAAATGAGACAAGCAGGGGATGTTTATCACCATCTTGTCCTGTTTTCGAGCTTCCCAGGATTTTCTGACTGGGATATTTTTTTAAAATCCTCTGGAGACAGTTTGTTGGGCTTAGTTAGACTTTGTTCTACAGTACCATGGGAATTCTAATACAGTGGTACCTCCGGTTGCAGATGGGATCTGTTCTGGAGGTCCCAAGGTTTCCACAACCTGAGGACCGCTTCTGCGCATGCACGCACGGCAAAACCTGGTGAAATAATTTCGGGTTTGCCGCTTTCACATCCCGAAGTTTACGTAACCGAAGGTACCACTGTACATGTTTAATAAATTGTACTTCTGCCCTCTCAGGTATGCCACACTATACCCCCCCTCCAAAGTCTAGAGGGTTTTAAAATTATGTCTTTCAGCCTCTGCTCCCTCTCTGGAAAATAGGAACTTTGGTTTCTGTAAGGCTGAATGATATATGGCATACATATTACTTTTAGTAACACACTCAAAACCTAACCTGGCTCCCTCCCTCCCAGGCTTGTTGTGAGGAAGATGGAATTATGTGATCAGCCTGGGCTCCTTGAGGGAAGGATGGGTTTGGGGTTTTTTTAACGCAACAAATAAAACAGGGCAAATATGTTCTAATAGAAGTGAGCAATAGCTCAGTTGGTTAGAGCATGGTGCTGATAATGCCAAAGTTGCAGGTTTGATACAATACGATAATCTTTATTGTCACTGTCCCATACAGAACAACAAAATTGAAAAAATCTACACCAGTCATTCAAACACCAACAAGCCTGCTATCCCAGCTATCCCAGCCTGGTTAACCCCCTAAAAACTCTGATACCCCATAATTAAATACAATATACTCCCGCAGAGACTACCTTACACTGCGTTTAAAACCAAAATCGTGTTTGGATAAAAACTGTTTCTCAGGCAGCTAGTCCTAGTCTTTATAGCCCTGTACCTTCTTCCAGAAGGCAGAAGCTGAAAGAGATCATTTCCAGGGTGCATACCATCCTATTCTCATATGGGACAGCTGCATATTCCTTCACTGCAGGGGGTTGGACTAGATGATCCTCAGGGTCCCTTCCAACTCTACAGTTCTATGATTTTGAAGCAGCTGCTTCACGCAGCCACTGCTGGAAAGTGGAGAACAGCTGCAAGATGGTGGAGGAGCTGGGAGAGTCATGTGCAGGGCCAGCCCAAGACATTTTGGCACCGGGGAGAACCACAGAATGCCACTCCCCTCCCCTGCCAGTTTAGTAAGAGGGAGGCGATGGCGTTGAAGAAAGTTTGCTTTATCTGAGAAAAGTACAAAGCCAGCCTTCTGAATGCAACTCCCAACACTGTGTAGCCCTCCCAACACTCTTCGCAGTCTGTATTCCTCACACAATGAAGCACACAAAAGTCAAGGTGTAGGGTTTTGTGCCCTCTGGAAATTTCAAGCAGTTACATTTTTTAGCATTCCAATTGTTATGTACCAAGGTTCATTGTGAATTTTATCTGCGTGAGTTAGATGCTTTCAGTTTTTTCCTCTGTCTGTTTCACGTCTTTGAACAAAGTGTCCCTTGTTGAATAAGGTATTGTCTTTTTTTAAAAAAAACCCCTCTCTTTTACCCATCACTCCCGCACTAAAAAATAAATAAATTCAGCTCTATAGGGGATTAGACCAAGAAAATTGATAAGTGGTTTTAGTCAATGATTTTTTTTCTAGAAATATAAATGCTGGTACTTACCATGAAGTTGTTACAGTAAGTGCTACACGTTTAACCAGTGCTTTTCATCTCAAAAAAAAAAAAAAGGTGCCAGTACTGCGTACCCTTGAATACACCCTGAAAAAAAGCACTGTTTTTTAGTAATGCATGACTTCTCTTCTGCACAGTACCCAATGCATTGTTAGCAAGCTAAAATAGCTGCCCCACCAGCAAGTGTAATTCAAAGAAGCAAAACTCAAATTAGTTGACTTGCACTAACTCTTTAGCCATGCTCACCACACCAGGATAACAACAAAACTGAAAGTGCAGATTATTGGAACCAACTTGATAACAGCTTGTGACTTGTGGGGAAGGGTGGAGAAGAAAGCACAAGAGTTCAATGCTACGGCCAGGAGGCTATTGCTGTGGCTTCACCCCACCAGATGATCCTCTTCTGGTCTAGCAACATCTGGGTGGGCATCTGCTCTGCGGTCTCAGTCAGGGGTCTTTCACGTTGGTTGCTACCTGATCCTTTTAGTGGGGATGCCAGGGAGATGCCTACAAGCAGCAGATGTGCTTCTACCACAGAACTATGGCCTTATGTGTGTTCACGCTGCATTATATGGGAAATTTGAGGAAAGTGCTGTGTGGTTGAAGCACCAGATAACACATTTGACTGGTTTAATCCTTGTCATGTTTTTACATTGAAATGTTTCAACTTAATCTGTTTTTAAGATACTTCTTTTTAAAAAACAAAACTGATTTAACAGGTATGGGAAGCGATCCAGCCCAGAGACACTGCTCTCCGACCTCTTGTTGAGAGAAAGCACAGAAAATATTCCTAGATCTAGGTATGTATAAAAGTCTTTTTGTGATCATTATTGTCACTGAGTTGCTTAAGCCCTTGCTCTAAACTACCAACCCTTCTTTTTGTAAAAAAATTTTTTAAAAAAATTGAACAAATAAGAGGTCAATTTTTACTTTGCACATTCTAGAACCGTATCCAGTTCTGGACCCCTGCTTTAAAGCTAAAGGGCGGGCGGGCGGGGGGGAGTTACTATAGAATTTGTTGAAGTTTACATTCAAAAAATTTTACATGCCAAAAAGTTTACATAAATCTTCATCAATGTGAGACCAAATAGGAGGATCATGATGAATTACCCCACCCACAACATTGCATGCTTCTCCCCCAACAACCATGAATGCCTGTAGGGAATCGGGACTTTGCATGCATAGTTGTTTGCACAAGGGTTCTCCAAGATCTAGAAGCACAGGGTTCCAGATCTCTGGGAAGCCTTCATGCATACAACATATACATGCAGTGGTCTCCACCCTATGTATGACCATGCTGTACACACAGTTGTTGAGGAAGGAACATACATTGTCCGAAGGGGGTCTACTCAACATGACCTCACTCCTTGCTCCTATGTCAGGCATAGGCAAACTCGGCCCTCCAGATGCTTTGGAACTACAACTCCCATCATCCCTAGCTAACAGGACCAGTGGTCATGGGTGATGGGAACTGTAGTCTCAAAACTTCTGGAGGGCCGAGTTTGCCTATGCCTGTCCTATGTTGACAAACATTGAACCAAATAATGCCAGAATAGAGCTATAGATACGAGAGATTCTGCAATTGTGGTACAAACGTACGGAGTGTTACACGAAGAACTGGGCTTTAATGAATTGTAAATATCTCCTGTCTCCCCCCCCCCCGAATATAATTTCATCCAAGCCATCATGCATCTACCTTATTCAAACAGGATGATGTTCTGCCAAAGCTAAGCCAGTGGGTTCAATGGCTGAGAGCTAAGCAAGTGCTCAAGAATTCTGTGAAAAACGCATGTTTAAAATTGGTTGAATTTGATTAACTTAAGTCCATTGGTTTCAGTGGGTCTACACTAAGGAAGACTTAGTCAGATACCAGCCAGTAGTGAGACTCACTTCAGAGCAAGGAACAATCCGTTATAATATAATTCAACAGTTTTTACTCCATCTCCTGCAGCTTGCACATAATCAAACTTTAAAGGCAAAACTAGAATACTACACACACACACACGGAATCCAATTTTCAACACATTGTTAACAAAATAATGTGATTATCTGCAACACAGACAGAGAGAAATAAGTCTAGTCACCAATTAATATGGTGAGCAATGCTATGTTCTATTGGTCTTTTGATTTCAAATACATTTGTTGTTTTTTGTTATTTGTGTTGCTGACTTCTATTTTTATTACTTTTTTCCTTTTGTTGTTGGAAAGCCACTTTGGATGGGAATTGCCCTGAGAAGTGGCCTATGAATATTTTAAAGTAAATTAAAGATAAAAAAGTAAGTTCCCAGGTGCTTTTCAGCCTTGTGGTCTTCTTCAATAAAGCAATGATTTTACTGGATTGGTTGCATTACAGTGGGATTAAATTCAGACGCCTAAATCAGAGTGGAGGACTCTCCTTTCCAGGAAGAAGGCACATGATATATATGGGCAGGCAATGTGTCTTCCATGCCTTCCTAGGAAATTAACACCAGAGCCTTCAGACACTCGGCTCATCCTGTGTTGAACAGCATCCTCCTCTGTGAAAGTTCTTCTTGGGCTCCTCATCCATCTGTCCCTGCATCCAACAAAGCCATTGTGTGAGCAAAACATCTCCCCCTCACACCACAGAACTTCTTCTCCCTCTGTGTGCTACTGGACCCCATGTGCTCTGGGTATTCATTATTCGGTGTACAAATCTCACTTGTAACCCTCCTTGTCTATGAATTGGGTTGCGCGTGGTGCATATGTCTTTGAGTGAACTTATAGTAGTCCTGAAAAACAGTTTAAATATTTCTATTCTCTCACTGACCACCAGGATATGTTTTTCTCTGTGCTACAGGTACGAAGATCCTTCCATGTGGTGATGGGAATGAACCATCTTCAGTATTTTTCCTAGTTTTCACTTCATGTCCCATTGCTAAGAAGACCAGCTGGGAGTATCACACCCGCCAAATGCATGCAGCCATCGTACTGAATTCTGTAGTGTTCTCCCTTCCTTCTCCTTGTACATACATTTGTTTAAATAAATTACTTGTGCACTCCAAATGGTAACATTTTAAATGTGTGTGTCAAAAAAAGGCCCATTATAATGGGCAAGGGTTTCTTTTTTTAAAAAGCTATTAAAACTGAGTTACAACCTCTTAACTGTCTCAAGTAGCATGAACAACAATCAGAGTACCAACTTCAGTACAGTAGTTGTAAAAAGTGACATTTGTTTGACAATTTTTTCTGGCCTTGGGACTCACTTTTAATATTTATTTTATAGAACATTATTTGTTCCATTACAATTATTGCCCATGATGCAACTGAGATAAAAAAATAAAAATAAAAAAATGTGGAAAGTGCATATTTTATTAATCAGTGTACAGAATATTATTTATTGCTTTGACAAATCTCTTTATATTGATAGCATTTTTAGAGGACAGAAACTTTCCCTGAGCCAGTGAATTAGACGATCAAAACCAATTTGAAAAAGTGCTCTAAACCTATTGCTGCTTTGTTTTGAAAAAAAGAACCCTTATTTTTTATTTAAGATAACAGAAGGATGAGTTTAGGAAAGATTTGTGTTGCTCAAAGCATTGGACATTTAGTGCAGGTCTCCACAACTAAGTGGAACTAAATATAGGCCACCAGCCCTGAAGCATGGCCTGCCAGGATCCTGGTAACCCCTCCTTCTTCCTTCCTTCCTTCCTTCCTGCCTGCCTGCCTGCAACCCTGGTGGCACTACCATTCATGGCTGATGGGCTTCCATATGACCTTATGGCTCTCAAGACTCTCATTCCCAGCAGGCAAGCAAGTGCTCTCTGGAGCTGATGGGAGGTGTAGTTCAAAATATTTGGAGGGCACCAGATTGAGGGAGGCTTCTATATTTATACATACAACCACCAGGATTGGAGGCCATGTGCTTTTGAATATCCAACAGAGGGACTGATATTGCTTTCATGTCCTGCTGGAGGGATATTCATAGATATCTGGTTGGCCATGTGGGAACAGGATGCTAGACTAGATAGGCATTTGGTCTGATCCAGTAAAGCTCTTCTTATCTTCCTGTGGCGCTCTGGTCTAAACCACTGAGCCCCTTGGGCTTGCCGAACAGAACATCGGGGGTTCGAATTCCCGCGACAGGGTGAGCTTCCGTTGCTCCGTCCCAGCTCCTAACAACCTAGCAGTTCGAAAGCACACCAGTGCAAGTAGATAAATAGGTACCACTGTGGTGGAAAGGTAAATGGCGTTTCCGTGTGCTCTGGTTTCCGTCACGGTGCTCTGTTGCTCCAGAAGTGGTTTAGTCATGCTGGACACATGACCTGGAAACTTGTCTGTGGACAAACGTCGGCTCCCTCGGCTTGAAAGCGAGATGAGCGCCGCAACCCCAGAGTCGCCTTTGACTGGACTTAACCATCCAGGGGTCTTTTACCTTTTACCTTATTATGAAACCTCTAGAAAGCAGCCTTATGCAGGGGGACAACCAGAACCATCCCATGAGAACAGAGCATATTTAGCAGCCATGTAATTCTGGCTGATTATTGTGGGAAGGAGTCGTGGTCCCAAAGTGGGGCGCTTACCTGCTCTCCCATCACTGGCGTTGCTATTGCTTCCCTGGAGGTGAGGGAAGGTGGCTGTGAGATTGTTGTTGTGCAAATGCATTGGTGGAAGCATGGATTGGCTCCACTGGTGCGTTTGCAGTGTTCTGATCTCACTGACTACTCCCCTCACCCCCTCCTGGGAAGCCGCAATGACGCTGGTGATGGGAGGTGAGGTGATTGCTGCTGCCCCACTGCCTGCTACTGGGAGGGAAGATAGAGGGGGGCAGAGGGGAGACTGAATGGGCTGTTGTGGAAGTAGGCAGACTGCGGGTGGTTGTCTGTCTAGATCAGGGGTCAGCAAACTTTTTCATCAGGGGGCCGGTCCACTGTCTCTGAGACCTTGTGGGGGGCCGGAATATATTTTGAAAAAAATAAATGAATGAATTCATATGCCCCACAAATAACCCAGAAATGCATTTTAAATAAAAGCACACATTCTACTCGTGTAAAAACACACTGATTCCCGGACTGTCCGTGGGCCGGATTGAGAAGGCGATTGGGATGGATCCAGCCCCAGGGCCTTAGTTTGCCTACTCATGGGCTAGATCCTATACATGAAAAGTCTTCCCTGCAATGTTTTGTTGCAGGCCTTGCTCAATCAAACACTCCTACTATTTGAGGTTCGCAATGCATAATCAAAAAGATTTTACAAAACGGTGCCATTTCCAGATACAACCGGGAATGCCACAAACTGGGAAGGTTTCTGCGATATTTCATAGAATCATAGAATTATAGAATCATAGAGTTGGAAGAGACCACAAGGGCCATCGAGTCCAACCCCCTTCCAAATGTGAAAAATTAGAGCGTGGTTCAGTAACCACGTGGGGGCAGTCCCTCAAGTGGAGAGATCAGCACAGGGCTCAACAGGACCGTTCCCTCCTCCTGACACTCTCAGATCTTCCTCTCACCTACGCATGTGCAGTAGGAGGTGTGTGTGGGTCTCCTGTTCCTAGTGGCAGACCAGCATTTCAGTACACGCATACTGAGGAAGTGTGGTGGTGGTGAAATACATGCTTCATGGCTGCTCTGTCAACATGCGATGGATTACACCTTGAGTTATGCATATGTAACAGGTACTCAACCATATTGCTCTGAGTTATTTAAGAAAGCAACATATTCTTGCCTTCATTCCATCTCAGTGAGGACTCTTATGGAAGGCAAGGGGTTTTTCCCAAGGAGCAGCTCTCCATAGGGAATTGCATTAAGCTCATGCATGATGGCAGCACATGTCTATTTCTCAATGGCTGGCCATGGTGTCGCAGTGAAATTGTACATACAGTGAAATTGATTAGGTGGGCAATTATCACAGATGATCTACTTTTCGGTTTTTACTGATTCAATTATATAAACATACAAAAACCAAAAAAACTCTGCACATAACATGTTACACACTACTGTACAATCTAATGTTCCCTCAAAAATCAACTCGCTCCCTTCATGATGATTCTACATTAAAATTATGTATTCAATACAACACATATATAATACTCTCTATAAATTCACATTATATTACATAAATTTTTATTGTATGAATAAATGACTGAAGTAACAATGGATCAATTATGACAGCAGGGAATAGCTTTAAATATATTTTTTTTGATGTTATCATTCCACATACTTAATAAAGGGCAGCATCGATTCCCACACTGCTCATTTCTTTATCTACCTTCCCTTAAATGAACCATTTCCTTTCATTTTGCCATTATTGGCAGATTATACCAATTTTACTAAACAATTCTGATTCGGTTGGGATGATCAGAGCACACCACTTATCTGCTATTAGTGTTTGAGCCTCAGTTAACAAAACTCCCGACTAAATTCTGATTTTTTTCCTACCTATCCCAAAAGAACTGTACGTGGGTTCAGTGGCGTAGTGTGGGGGTGCAGGGGGGCCAGCCGCACCGGGCGCAACATGGGGGGGGGGCGTGTGCTCGCACTCGCAGCTCTCTGCCCCTACTAAAATCCACGGGTTAGGGGGCGCAAATTACTTGCCTTGCCCCGGGTGCTGACAACCCACGCTACGCCACTGCGTGGGTTCATTTGTATATGGTACCCAATTATTTCTTGTAAAAGCTCAATAAGTTTTGTCCCAAAGCATCTACCTCTCAGGGACTGGGCAGAGGAGGAATGGTGGAGACTGCCTCCCCATCCTGACCCTTCCAGGGAGGAGAAAGAGGAAGACAATATAGATTTACAACAGGAGTTTGAGGGAGATCACAGCTCAGAGGCAGATGAGGGGGAAAGTTGGGAAATCATAGGAGAGCCAGACCAACACCTGGCTGACACATTGTCATTAGAAAGCATTCCAGATGCTCCATCTCCCAGAACCTGGCGAGGCTTAAAAGTAGGAGAGCAAAGAGCTCAAAGACAGAGGGCATGTAGCAGTACCCATAGAAGTGACAAATGAGGAAGTGGGAGAAATGAGACTCACTCGAGACAACGCCATTATCCAAGAGGCTGGGTTCTACAGCCTCTCTCTGTAAAGATTGAAATAAAAAAGGACATTAAGAAACTTTTCCTTATCTCTATACTTTCCTGGGCAACCAGTCGGGAACCTCTGACAGAATCCTGACACCACCAGACATGAGTATACAGTGGTACCTCAAGTTACAAACACCTCGGGTTACAAACACTTTGGGTTACAGACTCCGCTAACCTGGAAGTAGTACCTCGGGTTAAGAACATTACCTCAGAATGAGAACAGAAATTGCGTGGCGGGGTGCGGTGGTAGTGGGAGGCCCCATTAGCTAAAGTGGTACCTCAGGTTAAGAATGGTTTCAGGTTAAGAACAGACCTCCAGAACGAATTAAGTTCATAACCAGAGGTACCACTGTAATCCACATCTTTGTTCCGATATTTCCTATGTGCTCTGCTAACCTTGTGGTGGCTTCACCACATTGCTCTCTGTACTCCAGAGAGCTGCACGTGGTCAGCCAGATGGCGGAAGACAACTCAGCTTAGCATCCATCACCACGCTACAGCTTAGGGACGGGATGTCAGAGCACACTGATTGCGGATCCTCACTGGGCAGTTGTCCCAGGGCAAGGCAGCAATCACTTTAACAGCCACTTTCTGGAGCTCTTTGGGCAAAATTTTGTTTTTCCTAAGGGAATTCAGCTGAAGCCTCTGATCTGCTTATTCAAAAGCCATCTTCCTCCATTCTTCAGCCAACATAATAACCCCTTACTTGTCCAATACATGGTATGTAGAAGATCTGTCGAAATGCCACTTGTAGCACCTTATCAATTGCTGCCATCTTGGAATATCTCTTTGCTAAATGTTTGGGGGGTTCAGTACCAGCTGCAAAACTAAATGTTTCTTCTATATCTACCTCTACCCAAATATACACAGATGATTTATATTTGTTGTATTTATTACTTCATTTCTTTATTCTGTTTAGATTCTCCCAGTGCACGCCCAAGGTGGCTCACAGCATAAATGAAAACAGAACTAAACACACACAGCAAATATTTTTAAATAGATAAATGAGCAATCCTATTAAAAACAGCACGGACAATTCTTAAAACCGTTTAAAAGCACAAGACAAAAAGACGAGAGTTCGCACTGATTTCTACAACATTGTTTGGTACGACAACTCTTTTATTTATGCATCATAGGAAGCTGCCTGAATGCATAAACATCCTTTGATTTGTACATCTTTTTCAGACGGAGGGCTGCATTCACTTCTGGGCAACTTTTCAAGGGCCACATGCCAGGGATGTGTAGGGCCCCTTT